ACACACACACACACACACACATATATATATATATATATATATATATATATATATATATATATATATAGGCTTTGTCATATTAATCAAAGCAACATGTTTTTATCAAAATAAATAATTTTATCAAAAATATTATTTTATTAAGAAAAACACTTTCTATATTCATCAAAAACAACAATTTTATTAAGCAAAATATATTTTTTTTGAAAAATCGATTTCTCAAAAACTTCTAAACTCGAACAACATTTCAAGCAAGAAACGACCCTTAGATAATCGAATAAATCAACACACAAGCACTGTAAAGGTTTTGATCACCCTTTCAAATGCACCAAAAATCATAAAAAAATATTTGGTATTTTTTATTTAATTGAAAAAATCATGAAAAATTCAGATATGTGAAATCGAGCAAGAAAAATTTATATAAAAATATTTCGTCAACAATAAATAAACATACATATTTTATGTGATAGATGAAGCCTTGACGATCAAAATGCACAAATCAATTTGATAAAAAAACAGCAAAAAATTGATCCAAAATAAATTTTTTGCATCGAATACAGGTTCTTCGAGCAACAGCTGTTCGGGCCAAAATCAACCCGCAATATTTTGTTTTTTGAACAAATTGAAAGAGGCATATGGTAGATGATTCGATTAGGATTAAAAACCCTCAAATTTCAACAAAAACCATTGGCTATTGAAGATGATATTGATGAAATAGTAGAAATTTCAAAAGGTGTGAAAATCCGCCATTTCAATCCACGAAATCTCTTGATTTGTCAATCTTGGATTCGAATTTGCTTGTTTTATAGAAAATAATTAGTATTTTATAGCTATAAAACATGAAAAACGCCAAAAAATGGCAAGAAAAATAATAAGAAAAGCTTGAAAAAAATCAACTTGTGAGTTCCTGCATCAAATAACGGCTTCAATTGAAAATAACGGGTGTCATTAACGTTGTTTGTTCATAAAACCCGTTATATTCTCTAACTGATTCGATTAGCATAAAAACCGGCCAGTTTGACCAAAATACGTCCAGTTCGACCCCTAACCGGTCGGGTTTGGGCCTGAAAAATTTATGGGGTTGTACCCTAGGCTAGGAGATCCCCAAAACTGCCCCTAACACTCGGAACCCTAGCGGCTCCGGTTCTAACCAGCTAGTTTTTCAAACAATGATTCGGTGGGTCGGGGTCCAGGTTCTGATCTGGGTTCAGTGTTTGCCAAATCGAACTAGAATGGTTAACCATACATGGGACTGGGAGCGGTTAGAATCGAAACCGGACTAACCGGTATGGTGGTTTTTTTAAGAAAAAATAGGTCAAAAACCCCAAAAAATATTAAAAAAGAAAAAAAAAACTTAGATTAAGTGTATATTACCTTATTACCTACATTTATCTTACAAAACAAAACAACTTTTTACAAAAACTAACAAATGAATAATATGAAGATATTAGAGACAATTTATAATTTGACATTAATTTAATTGATGGAGTTACAAAGTTCAACTAACAATGGTTAGTAGTAATGAGAGTGGTAAGAGGGGTCAGGGCACTCTTGTGTTTTTCCAATGTATTTTCTTTGTTTCTCTAATCCAACAAAAGTTTTGAAGTAATCATATTAACCATTCATGAATACATTCATCAATTGAGCAATACAATATATTGCTATATCAACACTCCTTACGACAAAATAAGAAAATGATAAGAACGAATTGAGCATTATTGATCCTAAGTAAATATCATAATCCAAGATAGTTATTTAAAAGCAAGATCAAAATTTTTTATAATAAAAAAGTTTGAAATTGTGAATGCCTCTACCAACACAATTATAATCCCATTTCCATTGCACAATTACAATCCCAATTCCATTATTACAACAATTGCAATTACAATCCCATTTCCATTATTACAAATATAACTATATCATGCACTTTAAAAAAAAAAAATCGAACGGAAAAATGAAGCAAAAGTAAGACCGACATTATCACGAACTTATTTTTTTGTTTGTTAGAAAAAAAATATAACATTTTAAAAAGAAGAATCGATTTTTTTTGTCATATTCATAAAAAAACATATTTTTATCATAAAAACATAATTTTATAAAAAATATATTTTTAGTAAGCAAAATAGAAAAACATTTCCCATACAAATCAATACAAAAGCTTTGTGAAGTCTTTTATCATCTTTTAAATGCACCAAATTTAATAAATTTTTTTTTGGTATTTTTTATTTAATTTTAAAAATCACAAAAAATTTAGACCTATAGAATTTTCATGACATCAAGCAAGAAATAAATTCATATAAAAAAGTTTACTCAATTATAAATCAACATACCTATTTTATATGATAAATGAAGCCTTGATAATCAAAATGCAACAAATTTTGAGGCCAAATTGGAACATGGATATGGTAACCAATTCGATTATGATTCAAAACCCCCAACTGTCATCAATAATTGTTACTTATTAAAGATGAAATTAACGAAATAGCGGATCGAATTAGGGTTCTTCGAGCAGCTTGAACACAGGTTCTTCGTGCAAATTTCCGGGCCAAAATCAACCCTTGTTCTTGTTTGTTGAACAAATTGAAACATGGATATAATATTGTTTGTTGAACAAATTAAAACAAGGATATGGTAACCAATTCGATTATGATTCAAAACTCTCAAATTTCATCAATAATTGTTACCTATTGAAGGAGATATTTTGATGAAATGGAAGAAATTTCAAAAGGTTAGAAAATCTGCCACTCCAATCCACATGACCTATTGTTTTTTTTTTTTAATATTTGATTCGAATTTTGTTGTTTTATAGACAGCCAATAATGGTTTACAACACTAAAACACCCAAAAATGGCAAGAAAATCGAATAAAAAAAAGCAAGAAAATTTGGTTCACAGGTCCTGCTGTAACTAACATGCTCCATTTCAAAAAACGGACATTATTTCAATTTGCCCGTTTTTTGCAAAAAAAAACACCGTTTTAATGGAAAACCTGTCCGATTAGATCAAACCTAGCCGATTTGACATAAATACTGCCGGTTCAACCCTATCCGGCCTTGCCCTAGGTTCTTAGAACCCCAAAACTGCCCCTAACAGGACTCGGAGCCCTAGCGGTTTGGAGCTAACTGGCTGGTTTTTCTACCAGTACTAGATCTCATGTATATTTTCGGGTCTTAATTTATGAAAAAAAGTTAAATATATTTCAATGAGTAATGGTCCTATAGGACCCTCCCCCATGTAGGACCCTAAGGATCACTATTAAAGTTGGCACATATCTATAGAAAAGTTATCACATGGGTGTGAGACTTGACTTTCCTAGATATCCGTACCAACTTTAATGATGATTTTTTGAGGGGTAGGAGAGGGTCCTATAGGATCATTTCTCTATTTTAATACATATATTGTAATTTTTGGGTCAGGTTCGGGTTTGAGTTCCACGTTATTTTTGGGTCCGGGTCTAAGTACTGTGACTTTTGATCCATTCGAGTACGGGTCCTATAATACTCTTTTCAAGTCAGGGTCCAGGCCTGGGCCCAACCCGATGCCTTGTTTTGGGTTGCCCGTTTCTTGCAAAAAAAACACCGTTTTAACGAAAAACCTATCCGGTTAGATCAAAACTAGCCGGTTTGACATAAATACTACCGGTTCAACCTTATCCGACCAGTTTTGGTCTGGACGTTTTATGGGCAAATGCCCTAGGTCCTTAGAACCCCAAAACTGCCCCTATCAGGACTCGGAGCCCTAGCAGTTTGGAGCTAACTGGCCAATTTTTCTACCAGTATTGGGTCCCATGTATATTTTCGAGTCTTAATTTATGAAAAATAGTTAAATATATTTCAATGAGTAATGATCCTATAGGACCCTACTCCATCCATGTGTGTATGACCTTAAAGGATCACTATTAAAATTGACACATATCTCTAGGAAGGTTATCACATGGGTGTGGGACTTGATTTTATAAAAATCCATACCAACTTTAATGATGATCTTTTGAGGGTACTATACACATGAGTGGAAGGGGATCCTATGGGATCATTTCTCTATTTTAATACATATATTGTAATTTTTGGGTCAGGTTCAGGTTTGGGTCCCACGTTATATCTTTGGGTCCGGGTCTAAGACATGTGACTTTTGATCCATTCGAGTACGGGTCCCATAATACTCTTTCCAGGTCAGGGTTCAGGCCCGGGCCCGACCCGATGCCTTGTTTGATCTTCCTAACTGGGAAACCCCTTTTCGAGTTCTCCCTCATTTCCTCCTTTCGACCCTTCCTCCCCCCCCCGTATCTCGCTGCTCCCTCTGTTTCACGCACAGCTATCCTCCGTCCTCTTTCTCTCTCTCTATCGTCTGCTGAATTTTTGTTCTTTTCATGTGGGCGTATCTCTCCTTGTAAAACCAGTTTTCACGAATTCATACATCTCTCTCTCTCTCTCAAAATTTTCTCTTACTTCATGTAAAACTCAATGAGATCCTTGCCTGTTCATCCTTCACTCATATAGAAAATCCAATAAGCCCAAAACCATTGAAATAAGCTTCTATATTTCATTATGCCATCGAAATCAAAACCGCCTGCTACTGGTTCTCCCACTACTCCTCCTTCAAGTTATCGAAAACCCACGCCTGTTTCAGCTGGAGAAGAAGGAGAAGGCCTCCCTTATGCCCCTGAAAACTGGCCTGAAAAGGGAGATAATTGGTTTTGGAAGGTTGGGAAAAGGAAGAACAGTAGTGGGGTTTACGCTGATAGGTATTTGATCATACCCAAGAGGTTACAGGAAAAAAAGGGCAAATTGTATTTTGCTAGCAAGAAGAGAGTTGTTGAGTTCCTTAAAGCTGAATTCCCCAATGTCAATGTTGATGATTTCTTTGCATTGTTCGAATGGGGAGTGCCCGCCCCAGATAAAAATCCACAAAAAGGTATTCTATTATTTTTCCACACATTTGCAGCTACTGAAATATTTGGACATAAGTTTGATTCGTTTTATTTTTTATTTTGTGGTAGCTACATGCCTTTTTGGAAATTGGGTTTTGGTTTGATGGTTTTTAGTGGATTGTTTCTTTTCAATTGTTTGACTTTCGTTTAATCCTGAATCTCGGGGTTGTTTTTGTAAAGTTGTAATTGGGTTTTGTGATTCCTACTGTTTAACTGATTAATTGGCTTGATGTTGATTTCCCTTTGATCCGAATAGAGAATTACAGAAGCCCATGGGAATAATGTCTTCTTCTTCATCATCTTTTTTATGATCTCGTATTTTGGCTTCTTTTTGTGACTGGGTTTTCACTTTGATTATTCCAATTAGTGAGGACAGCCTCCATAGTTTCATTGGCTGCAAATTTTAGCAGTTGCTCAGTGTAGCTTTGAGGCTTTTTCCAACCTTCTGTTTTTCTTGCTAAATAGTTTCTCTGCCTTTTTGCATGGAAAACATCTGTTGCAGCTCAAATCTGTAGAATGTATTTGTTATTTTACTCTCTCTCTCTCTC